TCATGTTCCTTTGAGGTATGAACTTTTTGAATAACTGAATTGGATAGGTTTGGCCAAATGACTATAACGAATTGATCCATATGGGAAAATAAATAATGTCAGATCCACCGCGAAAGCTGTTCCACAAAAAGTCGGATTTTTATCCCGTACGAGAATCTACCTAACACTTCAACGGCTTTTCATGATCTACAAAGCACAGATACGTTCCCACATATGAGGTTCACCACTCAAACATACGCAGATGCTCTCAATAGATTCCATCCAGATAAGAGTCATTCGACTGGTGGGTGATGCCACATTCACAATTTTTTCGACATAAATCGGACCACCGTAGGAAAGTAGGCGACCTTTCACTTTTCTATAAAAAATACTTTCACGGGAAATATGTTCAAGCTGACGAACTTGACAAGTGCAGTCAGCACATCCTTTAGTTGTCAACCTTGAAATTTATAGAACAACACTTTATCAGAACTCGTTCGTCTATAGAGCGGCAAAGCTTCGACATTCTTTGCCGATACAGGTATTCCCACGGAAAAAATCCTCTTCCTATCCTCCCTAGGCACGTACGGCGTTCTTCGAAAATATAAGGATTCCCTTTTGTACGTTCCAAGAGACGAAAAAAAAACGAAGCGGTTTTCCTTTGAAGTAAGTTCTTCTTGGAAATCCGGACTAGATGAAACTCAGATGGGAGTAGTGAATTCCAAGAAAGAATGCAAAGACAAAAGTCAACTTCATGATTATTTTCAATTAAAACCAGATTTCTACACGAAGGGCTTTCTTTCGGAGTAGGAACTTCTAGGAATGCTGAACTGAGATTGCATGATCTTCCTTTGAGATATGAAATTGTTGAATAACTGTAATGAATAGGTTTGACCGACTGGCTACAACTTATTGATTAGATTATAAAAACGTTCTATCCTTATTCCAAATTGATAGAATTTTGCCTCATGAAGGTTAAATCCCGGAAACCACTGCTCCTCTACCAAGGTAATTTCTAATTACTTCAACTTCGTATGTCTACCTGCCTTATGCCTCTTATTTGCAGTCTCTCGAGGACCGTAAATAAACCGAGAAATGAACGAATTATAATCCGATTCCTAGACTGTAGTTCGGCGCTGCGAATGTTTGCCAGAACTAGACAGTATATTTCGGGTGATTCAATACGAATCGTCCCGACGCCAAGCGTCCCTCAATGCCAGACTTCATTGGAACACAGTGGCGTAGCTCTTCTATTTCTAAGCAAAGCATTTTGCGGAACAAATTGAATATGAAAGTGATCACGTAATAATCGTTCAGGGGATATATTTATCACACGGACAGTGTGTTTTTGGAGATAAGGTATTTTCTTTAACAGGAAAAATATAATTTCACTATAAATCGCCAAAATGGAAGGTGGAATCAAAAATTCGTAAAATGTTATCTACAATCCTAATCAAACACCTATTAATGTTGGGTGTCTAGATTTTCTCTTGGAGCACACGAAAGGAAATTCCTATAATGCTCGAAGAACATCGTGCGTACCTAAGGAGGATATGGAGTGGAGGTAGATGCTGGAACTTTTTTTGAACTCATAGAGGTTATGAGTTCTTGAGAATACTTCAAAGTCAATGTGTACTATTGCTATTCGGATTATATATTGATTTACTAATCCCAACTAAGATTTCAAAGCCTCTTCAATATGAGTTATAGTTTCGATGGATTACAACCGAATAAACTCTTATCATTTTGAAACGAAAAAATCATGATACTTATAAAATTCTATAGCCATGCATCAAGTTTTCCGGAGGTGATGACCGAATGCTTTCTATTTCTGACCCTTCTGGTTACAAGTGCAACAACAACTGGGAGTAACTTTTCGAAATTAAATCTGATGAAACAATATCTCATGACTTCAATGAAACAAGAACGGCTATCAGACATTTCAGTACTGTCTGTGGAGGCGAAAAACTGAAATTGCCTTTAGCTATATATGGATGATTCAATAAGATACCCAAAATGAAGGCAAGAAAATTATTGATTCGAATTAATTCTTGGCTACTAGAAGTATTGATTGTGAATTATTATCTATAATGGCTGATACAAAATTCAGTATTGAAATTTCAAGGACTTATTTTTCAGATTCAAATGTTATTTTTCAGGTCGAGGATCAAAAAGGGCCTGACCCATGAAAAATATTTCTCTGAAGATTCTTAAAATCACACGTCGTGCGGTATGATGTGAACCCTATAATGTAACCTATGTTCCAAAGTTCTGAATATTTCGAAAACTAAAAAAGGTATAAAGGGGAAAATAGAAATATCTTGAAATTTCAACGATCTGTAGATCGGTAGAGAAGCGTTTTCGGATACATGTTCATGGGAAAACAGTCTTATATTGATCTGAAAAATAAGTCACTAAAATGTTGATATTGAATTTTCATCTCATTTGGTGCAAGTTTTCATGTTCATTTTATCTTTTTCCTCTATTTGGGCTTCGCCACAATCGGGTAAAAGGGCGCTCTGGCAAATTTTGATATATGTGGCGCATTCATGGCAAGATACGACACTGCCTATAACCTAAGTGATTGTTTTTTCGAAACATCTTTCAAATCAACAAGCCAGTAAAAGTTGAATCCAGGAAATATTTTTCAGTTTCTTTGTACTCTTCCTAGTGTATGGACACTCAGGCGCGTAGGTATGTTTTTTTTTCTAGGGGGGGTTCTCAGTAGCGGAAATTAAATTATAATTTGTGGGTTGCCTAGTAGTACAACGCGTTTCAATGTATATTAAATCAACACAAAATGTTGGTTTATTAGCTCCAACTTTTATTAAAGCTGTTTTTATATCTTAGAATATTCGAAATTACCAAAATAACAATTATCAGTCATTCAAATGAACAAATCAAGATGAATATTCTCGATGAAAATATATTTTATATGCGTATTACGAGGCGTATTATATGAACTAGATGAAAAAAAAAAGAAATAATCTCTCAATTTCACCATTAGATAATATAAAGTAGGTAACTTATCATTCAAAACTCTTGATCAAATCTAATTAACATAATATCAGGTACCCTCGTGACTAGATTTTAAAACAAAGTCTTTTACAGTGCTTTGAAAACCTCGAGGAGAACCCATCGATAACAGCATCTATATCTATTTCAATATATCTATGAATATTTAATAAAGTTAATCCGACTAGCCTGACCCATTGTACACCTCAACCATGATTTCAGTGTTTTACTTAAGTGTATAGAAAATGATCTTTCAGCACTCGCCACACTCACCGGCATAACAGATTTCATCTGCAGGACTGTATAAATAGTAGGAAATATTTCGATACTGCAATGCTGTAAAGTATCTAAGGCTGTTTCTTTGGGTGAATTATTATAGGTTGATTTTTTGGTTCCTTCCCATTCATTTTTCCAAAGATCTATTTCTGATTGCAACAAATCTGACATGAACGTTCGGGAGAGAATTCATTTCTAAATTTACTAATATATTCAGAAACTTGTTTTACTAGAATCTTTGAATCACTGGTATAGAACATAATCAGGCATCAACCTGTTGATATATAACATTTTGAATTCATTATTAATTATTGTTTCTAAGTCTTTTACTGTTTTACTATTATTGTGCTTTCAGGAGGGGGGTACTGTCCCCTAGTACCCCCCCCCTTATCTACGCTGGGGTGGACACTATTTCGTTACAGAAATCATCTTTTGGGGGTTGTGTGGAAAATTCCTGAGTTGCCAAGAATTGAGAAACTCATATGGCAGTAATGCATTAACATTTTCACCCTCACGTGAGTCCTTATATATTATATTGGTTGCATTCTATTGTAAGACCTCTCAATTTCCGAGTCAGAATTATGTTCTTTATCTCATCAATCCTACTGAATTGCCACGAGAATGATCTTGTACTTTCTCTGCTTCCTCGATATTAGTCATTGAATATAGAATTACACAATTCAATACCGACTTTGATACGGATATAATGGATGTCAGTCCTTCCTAAAAAGTTACTGGTTCAAATGTGTACAGAGTCTCGAAAGGGTTGTTTCGACAGGAGATTTATTGTATCGTAAGGTTCATAAACAGAGCCGTTGGACTACGGCCTTTCTGGCCTCATGGGAGATGTCAGACCGCCAAACGGGCAATTTCAGATGCAATCATCTACGAATAGCCTCGATTTCTCTCTTGTTCACAATAGTGTCATATTGTTTCGGTTTGCGAATCATGACTGTGAACTGTAATTTATAAATGCATTACCAATATATGGCATACATAGGGTTGTTTTTTTTTTGGTCATGACTTCTTATCCAAATTGTTTATCAATAATGATTTTCTATGAAACATCGAGTACTGACTGTTTCTATTGAAGAAAATCTTTCAATAATTCTTGAACGAATCAAGATGGAGTTACATGTATTCCTCAATAATATTTATTCACAATTCATTACTCAATCAGGAGAAGTATGTATGCATCAACTGAATTATATGTTCAAGATCTTTGAATGTTATTGGTCTCAGAAGAGAAATGTCACCAATTGAGTAATTGAAAACGATTGGGTCCGACTTCAATATGGAGAACATGACATTACATTTGACAGGATTCAGTTCTAATCTGTTATTTTGACACCATTCTACCACTCGACCCAGGTTGTCAGCAAGCTGTTGACAATCATCTATGTGATTCACGCACCTATATAATTTCAGGTCGTCCGCATATAGCAAAAAGTTCACGTCAATAACATCACCAATGTCGTTAATGAAAATGTTAAAAAGAAGTGGCCCCAGATTGGAGCCTTGTGGTACGCCGAATGTAACAAGATATTTGTTAGACTTGTAGTCGTTTAACTGGACATATTATTTACTATTAGTGAAGTATGATTTGAATAGGTTTACTAGAGAGAGTCAAGTCTGGCGAAGGCATTGGAGTTAAACCTGACACCCTGTATAGAGCAACACAAACGAACCTTCGATCTGAGCCATACACTCATCCCTACCCCTTCTTCCAGCTTACCACCACCCCAACCAGCAGCCGCCCCGCATCACCGAGCATCCCGTCGACACGACGGCCGCCCGTCACGAACCGGCCACCCTCAACTGCAACGCGCAGGGCGAGCCCGAACCGACCATCACGTGGTACAAGGACGGGCAGGTGGTGCGCACGGCGCCGCAGGACGCGCGGTCGCCCCGCGTGCTGCTGCCCGCCGGGAATCTGTTCTTCCTGCGGGTGGCCAACAGCAGGAAGGAGAGCGACGCGGGCGTGTATTGGTGCGAGGCGGGGAACGCCTTGGGCAAGGCGAGGAGCAGGAACGCTACGCTGACGGTTGCTGGTGAGTACTTATTTCGATTTGATCAAATGATATTGATTAATCTTTGGAAGAAGTCCATGGTAACTCAATGTGGAGTGGTGGAGTTCATAGATGAAAACCCAAAGTCATCTCCACAACATTTATCAGAATGGTCAAAGACCAATTCCAAAGGAACATGTTTCGGGCTCATATAAGGCCATCATCAGCCAATAGAATAATAGTTCTAGTGTTGACTTAGGACATAAATGTAAGTATTACTTAGTACTTACATGGAAATGAAAAAAGTAGGCATACGAATAGTATGGTTAATAATAGTGCAAACAGGGCAAAATGCTCCATGATCTGGAAAACAATTGATTTAGAATATTAGGAAAAGGTGAAGAAACCTGAAAAACGCACTGTCACTGTAAAATAATATAAAATTTTTGTTATAAATTCATTTAAATATAAATTTATGTCATTTAAAGGTCGGGTTCATATGGTGAAAACATCAATAGTGAGTTTGAAATGGCAAATGCATTTAATAATTATTTTGCTGATGTTGGTAAAAATCTTGCTGATAAAATTATAATACCTCCAACTGCGCCACCGATTAAACAGTCAGTACCGTACTCATTCTTTCTTGTACCAACAAATGAAAGAGAAGTTATCAGTACGATTGATTCATTGAAAAATGGGAAAGCACCTGGTGACGATGAAATCAAAGCTGAGACGCTGAAAGAAATAAAGGAAGAAATAGCTAAACCTCTTTGTACTTTAATTAACAACATATTTGACCTTGGTGAATGTCCAGTAATATTTAAAATTTCTATTATCAAAGCATTATTCAAAATTGGTGACAAGTCCAAGACTTCTAATTACAGACCAATTTCGCTTATCACGAACTTTGCTAAGATTTTTGAAAAAATTTTGAATTCTAGAATAACTGAGTACATGGATAAAAATAATCTTATTTCAGAAAAACAGTTCGGCTTTAGGAAAGGGAAATCCACACAAGATGCAATTTCATTAATAACTGGTGAAATTTATAAGGCCCTTGATCATGGAAAAGTTGCTTTATGTGTGTTTTTAGACCTAGCGAAGGCCTTCGACACTGTATCCCATGAACAGTTACTATCAGATTTGGAAAACCTAGGTTATAGGGGTGAAGTAGGTAAATTGATGTCAAGCTACTTGAAGGAAAGAAAACAGTTCGTGAGAATTAATAGGTGTATAAGTAGCTTTGCGGATGATACGGCGATCTTATACGAAGGAAACTGCTGGGGAAAATTGAAGGAAAAAGTGGAAAATGATATGGGTAAAATGATAGACTGGTTCAATCATAAATCACTAACTATTAATTTCTCAAAAACTGTTTTCATTCCGTTCAGCTGCTATAAGAACAAACTTCCAGCTTTTGATAATCTTCAAATAAAAAACCACAACAATGAGTTATCCATAAAAATAGCCTCAAAAGCGAAGTATCTAGGAATAATAATAGATAGTAACCTCAACTGGGAAAGTCACATACAAGAATTGATTGAAAATTTGAGACCAGCGTTGTATAGGATAAAATACTTGAACAAATACCTGAATCCATCTTTATTACGGATGTTGTATTATGCTCTAGTCGAATCTAGAATTTCTTACGGAATACTTGGATGGGGTGGTGTGTCTACATGTCATATGATCAAATTGGAAAATTTACAAAAAAGATTTTTAAAAATATTATTGAGAAAAGATCCGAAGTACCCCTCAACTCTGTTGTATAAAGAAGCTAATATCCTTGACATTCGTCAACTATTTTTTTCACAAATAGCCATATATCAATTCAAGAACAAACACTTACTCAACTACATTGATCATGGGTATGGAACGAGACAAAAAGAGAACAAAATGGCGGAAACTTTGTTTTCTGCTAAAAGAATTGGTCAGAGAAGTCATGTTCATTTAGCAAGTAGAGTTTTCAATGTGATTCCTATGAACATCAAACAAGCTCCAAATATACATATTTTTAAATCTCGCATAAAACACTATATTTTATCGTGCGATAGAAAATTTATAACTGATATAGTTGATATGGGATGAATAAATCATCAATCAGTTTATATGCAGATCTTTAATCAAAAAAGGCTAAGGTTATTCAATTTTCAATTATCATGAGTTGTATTGTGTTGATCCTGTTATAGTCATTTATATATTATATATTTTATTTTAAATTCTACTTATAATATATTAACCGTATTGTCATTTGTTAGTAGATAATAATGCCCAATTTCTCTCCTCTGTCACATGCTCAATAAAAAAAAAAAAAAAAAGCAATATAGGAATCTCGTGCGCAAGCCATGCTTTTTACGAGGTATTTCCTTGTTTATTTGATTTATATATTTACATGTAAAATCTTCTTGCCTTTATATATCATTCATTTACTGTTAATGTTCTATATTATGTAATGTGAAATTTGTAAAAATACTATTTTTGTATATATTTGTCAAATAAACTTAATTATTATTATTATTATTATTATTAATTATTATATTCTACAAGGGCTCACGTGACCTTGAATTACCGAAAGGTGATAATTAAACTTTGAAAAATCAAACTAAAAGTTTGATGAGGAATCAATATTAACCTGTTGAAGAGAAAGAATCACATGTGCGTGAAACTGAAGGTTATAAAAATTGACATGAATGACGTCAGAAAATTTCAAATGTCAAGAGTCAAGCAGATCATGGAACATTAAGTAACATCAGTAAAATATGTCAACAACCGCTCGAACAGGTCGATTTTTCTGCAATTATCATATTATTCCAAAATTAAAATCTTGCAGCGTAACGGGCAACATCTTTCGCTCTTCAATTGGAACACCTTGTATTTGATTACATCTCTAGATTTCTCCTGAAGAACTGATTTTATCAATGTATTACACTAGGGATCTAGCGGGAATGATTACACAGATATAGGATGTTTCAAAATGGAAAATTCTTCAACTTTATATAGGATATTTTTGTGTCGAAACTATTCTATCTATATCGGTCAGAACGGCTTCCATGTCCCTACCCTAAATTTTGATTCACTTCACCTACTGACATTTAATTGTAACAAATACGGGATGGTTCAAGATTCAGAATTCTGATCACCCTGTATCTATATTCCAATTGAATGTCAGTAAATAGTGAATCGAAAGTTACGATATGGACATGTAAGGTGTTTTGACTGATAATGAATAGTTTCGACACAAAAAATACTAAAGTTGAAAAATCTCAAATTTGAACACCTTATATCTCTGTAATCATTACCGGTAGACCCCAAGTCTAAAGATGCAATTGAATACAGGGTGTACCATTTGAAAATCGAAAGTTGATGCCCGTTATGCTCCACGGTTTCAACTCTGTTATATGATATTTGCAGAGAACTGTGTTCCTTACTGAACTGAAATGGACCTGTTCGAGCTGATTCTCATAAATTGCAACACAACGGATAACATTTGGGTGGAACATTTTCGATGGGTCACCCTGTATATATGTATATATATTCGTCTTTGATGAACATGCTGCCGCATGCCGATGGCCTTTTCTCTCATAAATGACTTTCAATGCTTCCACAGGAGGGTGAAGCAAGGGCGGGACTAATAGAGTATACATATATTATTATAGATATGTCATTGATATCATTGACATGGATTGCTGGATGTACTTTTTCATGTAACTAAATGCAAAGAAAAATATTCCATAGGTACTCAAATTGAGCGAACTGTGAACTGTCCAGATAATACCTATTCATATAATTAAGGTTTCACCAACATCCATTTAGCAACCAATCAATTTAGAAGTTTCGATCAACCATGATCTGCGACAAATTTCAGCTTGAACGTTACCACCCACTTGGAATTTTGTAGACTAAATCCTTGTAAATTTTCGATGATTAATCGCTCTTCACTTTACCTGAATAGCGTGCCACAACCAGAGTATCTGTGTTTTCAGAAGTCGCACATCTGTTTCAACAGGATATGGAAATCTTAAAAATAAATCATTACCTACATTTAGCATGGTGGCGAAATGTATACCTAAGCATCTGCTAATTTCGGTGCGCATTGACGGCCTTGCGTCTTAGGATTTGGTCGAGATTTGGGCGAGTGGACTGAACTGTTCCACAGAAAAAGCAGTCTTTGAGTTAACTAAAACACTCCTGAATTGCTTTGATAATAAACAAAAATGTATGACCGTATTTCTGGACTTGGCCAAGGCATTCGATACGGTAAATCATAACATTCTGTTTCAGAGACTGGAAAGCTCTGGCATAAGAGGTCTTCCTCTAGAACTAATTAGGAATTATTCAACAGACCGCAAACAAATAACAAAAATTAATAGTACTTTAAGTGATCCTTTACCGGTATCCATGGGCGTGCCACAGGGGACAGTATTGGGACCAGTTTTCTTTTTACTTTATATTAACAGCCTTTATAACTTGCAAGATATAAAAGGAAAACTCATCTCTTATGCTGATGCTACCGCTATTGTATTCATAGGGGATAATTGGGAAGAAACATATAATAAAGCGGAACAAGGACTCAAAAAAATATACAGCTGGCTTAGTGAAAGTATGCTTAGCTTGAATATTGAAAAAACGAAATTTATTACTTTTTCACCCACAATAAGAGATTAACCCTTAAATGAAAATATTCGACTCCATGGATCCGGCTGTACAAATGACTTCGACTGCGCATGTTCTATGATAAAAAAAATCGATAATATAAAGTACTTGGGAGTAATAATTGACCAACATATCCGTTGGAATGAACACATCAATCATACTACAACGAGACTACGTAAATTGACTTACAAATTTTACCAGTTGAAAAATATTCTGAATGAAAAAAATAAAATAATGGTGTACGATGCCTTGGCTGAGTCCATTATTCGCTATTGCATTATTGTTTGGGGTGGGACTTTTCGAACTTCCCTTAACTGCTTAGAAGTTACACAGAATACTCTACTGAAAATACTGTTCAATAAAAACAGAAAATTTGGAACTGAGCAACT